ACCTTGACCTTTGAATCTAATGACCTTGACCTTTGACCTCGACTTTTTACCTCAGTGTGTCTCTTTGTTTAATTCCGAACAACTTTGCTTCATAATGTCATAGCGAAATGTTCACCAGTGAAAAGCTACAAAATTTGACCTTGACCCCTAACCTTGACCTTTGGTCAGTTGACTCCTTGTTTGATTCTGATCAACTTTGCTTCATGATGTCATAACAAAATGTTCATTAGTGAAAAGATGTAAAATTTGACCTTGACATTTGAACCTAATGACCTTGACCTTTGAACTTGATTTTTTACCCCAATGTGTATTTTTGTGAACTGAACATCTTGACGAAGTTTCATGTACATCGGTCAATAAATACCAAAGTAATCAGCCAGGAACAGAATTTGTGGACGGACGGACAGACAGACAGACAGACAGACAGACAGACAGAGTGATTTCTATAGGGCACCCGTATCTCCGATACGGGGCCCTAATTACCTATATCTTAAAATCAGTTATGAATTTTAGTTTCATATATAATATAATATTTTAAGATAATACAATATTTTATTACTGATGATAATTTAATGCATGTAGGTTCATTAATATTTGAGCGTCCGGAGAGCTTGTAGGAAGGGGATGCCCAATCACCTGCTCCTTGGACTGCCCCAAAAACCTGTGATATTCTGTTTAATATTTTTAGTAATATATATATGTATGTTGTACTGTAATATGTATGTCAACTGTCATGTTACATGTGATGTCTATGATCTATATCCTGAAATAAACATTATACTGGGAGACATTTATACATCACTCAATGCATCATGCACTTGTTCTTGTCCACAGGGAAAATCTACAATATTTTGTCCTGCCCTGAATGTCTACACAACATGTGTTTCAATAATCTCCACTTGTTATCACTTGTCCATACAAGTATTTTGTTAGCTACCAATTATACAACAAGATGTCATGAATCCAGTGGTACAGCACTTACCCACATAAACTGGTGCATCAGCAGCTTTTCTGTCTGACTATAGTATAAACCTGCCTGGTGCTCATTCTTCTTGTACTCTTGGTAATAGTCAGTGTCATCAATTTCCTATCAACATCAACATATATTTTGTGAGTGACATAATTTCTTATCAATTAAATGTGTGAGAAGATTGGGTTGTGAATCAAATACATATGTATTTCACAATAGAACTATTTTAACTGAAATCATACCTCTATTACCGTTAAACTGGACTCAGATGTACCTAATTACATCCCCTCAATCTAAGTGTAATGTCTACCAAGTATCATTCAATCAGTGGTGTACTTTAGAAGGCACGAATAATGTTTTAAACAAAGGAACTAACTCCATAAATAGGGGAAGTAACTTCACATCTTCAGGCTGCAACTCCTTAACTTCAGCAAGAGAAGTAGTTACATAACACAGGTTTACACATTAAGTAAGTTGCAAAACAACGGTATATACATCTCTGAGAAATTAACAAACCCTACTGTCTATGGCACCATTGTTTGATCACTCGATGAATTATCTAGAAAATATCATGGTTTGATCTAGATTATTTTACCTCTACTTATTTTACACTATATGAAAGTAATATAATACAAGAGGCCCAGAGGGCCTGTATCGCTCACCTGGATACCTTAGCAATCATGGCAAAATATTCTCCAAATGAGATCAAGGGAATATGCCAGACCCCAAGGTCAATCCTTGTAGCATAACTGTATTAGATTTTGTCATGCCCAGCAATTTTATGTATGGTTATGTAGTGGGGATCTCAACCGTTTCCAAGCTTTGACTCAGAAACTAGGTCCCTAGGGTTGTGGCCAGACCCCAGGATCAATTCTAATATCGTGACTGCATTTGNTGTTTCTGCTGTACTACTGACCTGTGACTAGATGACAAAGTGTTAGTTTCTGGTATACTACTGACCTGTGACTTGATGACAAAGTGTTAGCTTCTGGTGTACTACTGACCCGTGACTAGATGACAAAGAGTTAGTTTCTGGTGTACTACTAACCTGTGACTAGATGACAAAATGTTAGTTTCTGGTGTACTACTGACCCGTGACTAGATGACAAAGTGTCAGTTTCTGGTGTACTTCTGACCTGTGACTAGATGGCTTGGTGTTAGCTTCTGGTGTACTACTGACCTGTAACTAGATGACAAAGTGTCAGTTTCTGGTGTACTTCTGACCTGTGACTAGATGACAAAATGTTAGTTTCTGGTGTACTACTAACCTGTGACTAGATGACAAAGCGTTAGTTTCTGGTGTACTACTGACCCGTGACTAGATGACAAAGAGTTAGTTTCTGGTGTACTACTAACCTGTGACTAGATGACAAAGCGTTAGTTTCTGGTGTACTACTAACCTGTGACTAGATGACAAAATGTTAGTTTCTGGTGTACTACTGACCTGTGACTAGATGAATAGTTCTACAGAAGAAGTCGCTTAAAGCAATAAAGCCAAATAACCCGTTTTGGCCCCGCCCCTCAGCCCCCTGGGGGGTCAGCCCAATTATTTGTACAATTTTGAATCCCCCTCATCTAGGGATGCTTCCAGTCAAATATGGTTGATATCCACTTCTTAGTTCTAGAGAAGAAGTCACTTAAAGCAATATAGCAAAATTGTCCCCTTTTTGCCCCGCCCTTCAGCCCCAGCAAAATTGTCCCCTTTTTGCCCCGCCCTTCAGCCCCCTGGGGGGGTCAGCCCAATTATTTGTACAATTTTGAATCTCCACCACCTTATGATGCTTCCAGTCAAATATGATTGATATCCATCTCTAAGTTCCAGAGAAGAAGTCGCTTAAAGCAGTATAGCCAAATTGCCCCCTTTTTGCCCCTCCCCTCAGCCACCTGGTGGGTCAGCCCCATCATTTGTACAATTTTGGATCCCCACCACCTAGGGATGCTTCCAGACAAATATGGTTAATATCCACTTTCTAGTTCCAGACAAGAAGTCGCTTAAAGCAATATAGCCAAATTGACCCCTTTTAGCTCTGCCCCTCAGCCCCCTGGGGGGTCAGCCCCATCATTTGTATAATTTTAAATCCCCATCGCCTAGGGATGCTTCCAGTCAAATTTAGTTAAATTCCAATCAGTGGTTAAGAAGAAGAAGTCGTTTAAAGAAATTGCTGACGTATGGACGCAACGGTATGGCATAAGCTCACCTTGGTCCTTCGGACCAGGTGAGCTAATAATTGGCTATTTCCCTGAAACCCCCACATTAGGGAATTAGCTCACAAAAGGGGTGCGTTAGTTGGGAGAACTAAGACCCAGTGAATTAGTTCAAAAGAAAGGCGTCGCTTGATCGAGTTATCGACCAATCAGGATTGAGGAAGACAGGGCTCCAAATTGGTTTGTCAATGTTGAAATTAAATCAACACCCAACTCTTGCCAAGTGATATCGTTGTACTGTAATCTGCAATTTGTTTATTTTGATGCTGTTAAAAATAAAAATTCTATTTTACTGTTCGTCCTGTATATTGTCAGATTGATGCTTTTGTATTGATATAATAAAACAGGAACTCAGAAACTTGCTATATCCCTCATAACCATACTTTAACTGTATACTATATCATAAGTCATAACTCTTTTTCCTTAGCAAGTCAAAATAGCAGT